GGGACTTGGAGAAAGAACAGTAATGGTAGAGACAGGAAGCAGACAAATGCCTAGGCAGATAGGGGTGGAGTCCCCAGGGGTGAGTTTTAGCAGACCCCAGCTAAAACCTAACCTTCAAGCTCAAGACAGTTTAAAGCCGAGCTATAAGTCTCGGGTAAATCCACAGACTGGATTGAGAACCTGTCTTCCTGTTTGGCAGTGCTTTCCTCTGATTGATCCTACCCTTCACCTATTTTACATATACCTACCCATTCCTAATTGGTTTTCTACACTGTTGTGCTCACCTTAGAGTGGTGTTTTCACTTTAACCTTTTGCCCACTCACAAACCAATCAGCAAACACTCCCCATTCTGAGTTCATAAAAAGCCCTGGACCCAACCACACTGGGAGAGAATTCACCTGACTGTGGGTGTGGGGGACCCTCCCAGATGCCCTCTCCACTGAGAGCTGTTCCATCACTTGATAAAGTTATCCTCCTTTGCCCATCCTCACCTTTCAATTATCAGAGTATCCTCATTCTTCTTGGACTCAAGACAAGAGCTCAGGAACCACAGAAGGCAGATACAAGTTATAAAACAGGTGGGATGAGTGGGCGGGACACCTCCAGTGGCAGGCTGGGGCTGAGCAAGCCCCAGGCTGGGGGGTGTCACTGGCCATGGAGGTCCCTGGTTGGCAAAGTGGCCAAGAAAACTCCTGTATCAGTAACATCTCTCTGGTCATTGTGTGCGCTCCAGGAAAGATGAGCTTAAGGTGTGTTTCAATAAGGGTCTTTATATTTTTATATGCACATTAATATATTTGTTTTATATATATATGTTATATATATGTTACATATATGTTATATATATGTTATATATATATGTAGGTAACATATATGTAGAAAGAGAGAGATTTTAAGGAACTGGCTCACTTGACAATGGGAGCTGGCAAGTATATAGGTCAGGACAGCTGGCTGGAAACCAAGGTGGAATTTCTATGGAAAATCTCTTGAGGTTTGAATTGATTGAATGAGGCCTACCACATTATGGATACTTTATTGAAAGTCAACTGATTGTAAATGTTAAACATATCAGACAAAACACCTTCATGGCAACCCCTAAATTAGTGTTTGAAGAAACAACTGAGCACCATAGCCTACCAAGTTGACACCTATAATTAACCATCTCAAGGAGCCTCAGTTCCCTGTGCTTTTCCCACGTTGGGGATTGTGAAGCACAGTTGCAACAGCAGGGGGACTCACAAGCTACAGTGATAGAAATGACCCCATGAGCTAAAGGCCAGGGACAAGTATTACCCTGGTTGCCTCTGTCCCCCGGAGTATTTCAAAAAGGACTATATTCTGAGACACAGTTTGTACACCCCCTGGTTATTCTCACCAAAAGCAATTTTTCATGAGTATGTGGTGTTTTGCCAAGAAAATTAGAAGATGTCCTGCTTCTTCACCTTTCCCACAATAAAATGAAATGTGGTATCTTCTTTTCATTGTGTATTTTGACTTCTTCTGATTGTAAAAGTAATATATGCTCATTTTAGAATATTTGGAAACTTCTGAAAAGTAGAGAGAAAATTAAAATCACCCTCATAATCCTTCTATTCAAAGACAACTGCTGACATTTAATGTAGTTTCTTCTTCTCAGATAATTCTTTTTCATTGTATTATCTAACACATCCACAAAAATATTTTTTCCAAGAAAAAATATTGTTAGTAAAGGACTAAGATGAAAGATATCCTACTGCCTATTAAATACATTTCCATTTATTTTTCTCTTTAGAACTCTGATTTTTTTCAAACATATCTCAAAATTTTCTTCTTTCTCCTGTATTTTTACACTCCTCGAGGAAAAAGAATCATGTAAATTACATGGGTTTATATACACTTCTGGGGTTTTTTTTTTCTCTCATTTTCTGGAACCTCCATTTTCAATGTCATGTGAATAACAGAAAATGTGAGGCCCATTCCCCAGAAATGACATAATTAAAAGCAGCTTATATTGTCTGAGGCTTTGTAGTTTACAAAAGTTGACATTTTTGATAAAAAGAAACTCTTTGTGTTCTCCCTCCAGATCTTCTCCTCTTCCTGTCTTTCCTTTTTCCACCCACAGCGAAGGAGCTAAAAGTTCCTGGATCTCTCTTTCAGTGCCTCAAGCAATTTCTTCAGGCTCTGCCTGATCCCCATTCCAAAGCTATCTCCTCTAACTGATGTCTCAGGCACCTCCTTCTGCAACCACTCTTTTTGTTTGATGCTTCAGGTGGACTTTTGTTTGGTTTCATTCTGGCTTTGTCCCTGGATACTGTTTGTTTTTCCCAAGCCTCAAGCTCCATAGCCCAGTAGGCAGTCCCACTCCTAGCCCTAACAACCAGCTAGACTAGAGAAAGTACAGCCAGGAGGGTGCTCAGGCATCATGTATGCCTAAAGAAGGAGGACCACCCAGTTGCCTAAATCACAAACTAAGAATTTATCTTAGGTCTCATCCTCTCCTGCGTGGCCTGCCAGCCTCACACTACCTCCCTGCCATCTAACACACACACACACACACACACACACAATGAAAGGCAAAGTTCTATTGACACTGCCTCTTGAATACTTGTGGAATTTATATCATCTCCTTTACATCTTCATTTGCCAGTCACTAGGTTATGCCCTCATAATTTCTTACTTAAAATTTTGCAAGTGTCTTTCTGTCTTAGGCTGCCTGGAAACGATCTCTGAAATGGAGATTTCTGTGCAGGAAGTTTATTAGAGAATGCACTAAGACCACCATCTGGAAGGAAGTGAGGGAAATAGGATTAGACAGAAGTAGAAGTTGAACTGAGATGCAGATACAGTGTCAGCTCATCCTACAGGAGCTCTGAAGCTAAGATGGCTCTTAAGAGTTGTCCCAGACTGAGGAAAATAGGGTGGCTAACACGTAGAGACAAGTCATTGAACACAGGCTCTCCCCAGACAGGAGAGGTGATCTGGGCAGCACACTACAACACCCACTATAGGTTTCTCTCTTGAAAAGTGGTCAACCAGTTTCCCTGTGTCCTGTCTCTATACTGTTTCCATGGTAATAATATGTAAACATCAGTATGATTATGCCATTGTCTATTGTATAATGTTTCAATGCTTGGCTATACTTTTTGGAGAAACTTCAACTCTTTGGCATGGATGGCAAACCCAGTGAGATCTGGCCTTGCATCTTGCAGTCAGCCACATATCCTACCACATACCCAAGGGAACCTGAGGTCTAGTCACACTAGATTACATAATCTGTCTTAGCTCCATATATGCCCTCTTTATCTTCCATCTGTCTCGACCAAAAGCCCTCAACTTTTACCCTGCTAAGTTACATTTTCAAACAGTAGAAATACTATCCAAAAAGACAGTAGGCAATTTCTCAAAATGGGACAGGGGGAAATAGTCAACCAGTTTAAAAATATAACAAAATTTTATTTTATGTTTAAAAATATAACAAATGCCAGTTTTCAAAAGAAAATTATAATGACTAAGAATTTTCGATTTTTATATGGAACCTATGGTTATGAAGTAAAACCTTGAAGAAATATAGCTAAACAATAACATCAGTTATCCAGACATCTTTACCAGCTAGAGTCCGCCAGGTGTTTTGCATGCATCATTGCTCATGTTCATGACACTGAAGCCTTGAACTATATTAGCCATTTTACAAAGAAAGAAACTGAAATTCAAAAAAGTTAAGCAACTTGTTCATTATAAACATAAGGGGCAAAACCGAGATTTGACCCCACGTTGACCAACTCCAAAGCCTATGCTCTTAAAATTTCTTTTACTTAGTTCATTGGCATCAGAGTTTTGGCCAAGAAAAACAAATGGCCAAATGTGATTTGGCCATAACTATGCCAGAACATATTTTTGTCAAATTTGAAAGTGTTTATTCAATTATGACAGGTCAGAGAGTTTTCTCTTTTGAGGATCACCTACCATGAAGCAGTACTACACAAACAGAACTCACTTAGCATGAAGAAAAGGTTATGGAAAGAAATGAATATGCTTTCTGATGATAAAATTCATAGTATCAAGAATGAAATTAAAAGGTAAGAGCTAGATTCATAGCACTTACAATTTATTAAAACTAGTAAACCCATCAGGGAAAAATATAGCCTCATATGAATTACATATGTGTGTTATACTATTCTTCTGAAAAAGTTAAGGACTGAGCAAAACATCTTTGAAAACAAAGTTGCCTTCAAGCAAAAGTGGCTGAAACTGAAACTGTGGTCTGTTTAGCTGTACCAAAAAAATTACATAAGGACAGTAAAATGAATAGAAAAACAAATAATCCAATTTTTTTCAATAAGCAGTAGAAAATAAGTGAGACAATAAAGTCCTTTCCTGAAGATAATGAGGCAAAAATATTTTGAACCTACAAATTGTTATTAATTTTGCCTGCCCAGCCCCTCTTCATGCAGTAGACTCTACTGAGGACACCATAGAAGGATGGGATTTTTTGTTTATTCATTCATTCATGCAATAAATATGTATTGAATAGCTACTATGTCAGATGCTACAATAATCACTGGGAAAGCTGAGATAAATACAACAAAGACCTTGACATCATCTAGCTTATATTCTAGTGAGAGAAATAGACAGTAGCTATTTAAGCAAATAAATAAATAGTAATAAGTGTTATGAATTAAAATAAGAAAGGAGAATGAGATTTGGGGAAAGAAAAGTTTATCTAAGGTAGTTGAGGAAGGCCGCCTTGAGGAATAATATTTGAACAGGGACTTGAATAACAAAAAAAGAAGCTGATAGGTGAAGACAAGTATTCCAGGAAAAGAGAAAAGCAAAAGTAAACCATAGATGTAGGAAAAGTTTACGCCTAAGTAAAATCCAGAGTACTCTGCCTGAGTGGAAAAATGTTAGAGAAAGAGAAGAGATTACATCATAGAAAGGGTTGGCATCCAATCAGGGGCTTATATGATTTGGAATCTGGAATGTTTATTCTTAGTGAGACTGATAGCTAATAGGCAGCTGTCAGCAGGGGAGTGACAGGATGGAGAAACAACTGTAGAGGAGCAAGAGATAGTGGTGACTCGGACCAAAGTGGAAGCAGTGGAGATGAGGAGAGGTGGTCAAATTCCAGGTATATATTCAAAGTAGGACCATTTGTGGTGATGCAGCTACATGGAATCAAAAGAAAATCGAAGACAACTCCTGGGTTTTTTTTTTTTTTAATCTAAGCAGAAATTAGACCCCTATTTGTCACTCCATATAAAAATCAACTCAAAATGAATCAAAGACCTAAATGTAAGACCAGGAACTATGAAATAATTAAAAAGAAAACATAGGGAAAGTGTTTTAGGACATTGGTCTGGTAAAAGATTTTTATGAATAAGACCTCAAAAGCACAGGCTACAAAAGCAAAACAAACAAACAGAAAGAAATGAGATTATATAAAAACTATAAAACATCTGCACATCAAAGAAAACAATCAAAAAAGTGAAAAGACAACCTACAGAATGGAAGCAAATATTTGCAAACTATTCATTCAACAGGGGATTAACATCCAGAAAATACAAGGAACTCAAACATCTCAACAGCAAAAAAAAAAAATCCAATTTAAAAAATGGACAAATGATCTGAACAGACGTTTCTCAAAAGAAGACATACAAATGGCCAACAGATATCATTTTACCCCAGTTAGGATGGTTATTATCAAAAATACAAACAATAACAAATGCTGGTAAGGATGTGGAAAAAGGGGAACTCATACACTGTTGGTGGGAATGTAAGCCAGTACAACCAATATGGAGAACCGTATAGAGGTTCTTCAAAAAACTACCAATAGTACTAGCAGATGATCCAGCAATCCTACTGCAGGGTATATCTCTAAAGGAAAGGAAATTAGTATATCAAAGAGATGTCTGTACCCCCATGTTTATCACAACCCTATTCACAATAGCCATGCTATGAAATCAACTTAGGTGTTCAACGAGAGATGAATGGACAAAGAAAATGTTGTGTATAGGCACAATGGAATACTATTCAGCCATAAAAAAATTAATAAATACTGTCATTCACAGAAATTTGGATGGAACTAGGTGACATTACGTTAAGTGAAATTGACCACAATAGGAAAGTTAAACACTGCATGTTCTCACTCATATGTAGATACTGAAAACAGTTGTAAAAAGTAGAACAGAGGATAATAGATAGAGACTGAAAACAGTAGAGAAAATGGGGGAATGGGGAGAGATTTGTTAAAGGATACAAAATTACAACCAAATAGGAGAAATAAGTGCTAGTGTTCTATACCACTGTAGGATGACTATAGTTATTGAATGTTCCCAACAAAAAGATAAATATGCTAATTACCCCATCTGATAACTATACATTTTATGTATCAAAACAGCACTATGTACCACATAAATACATACAATTATTGAATATCAATTTTAAAAAATTAAATTAAGCTTTAGAAAAGTACTTGGTGATACCACTTCATACTAAAAAGGCTCTTTTTAAAAAAGCAATGGGAAATAACAAGTGCTAGTAAAGATATGGAGAAATTAGAACACTCATACATTGCTAATGGTAATGTAGAATGGTACTGTTACTTTGAAAAGCAGTTCAGCAGTTCCTCAATAAATAAAACATAAAACTACCATATGACCTTGCAATTCTTCACCTACGTATATACCTGAAAGAACTCAAAACAGGTGTTCAAATAGGAACTTTTACATAAATGTTTATAGCAGCATTATTCACAGGAACCAAAAGGTGAAAATAATCCAAACATTCACAAAACAATAAATGGACAAACAAAATGTGGTATATCCACACAATGGAATATTATTTAGCTGTAAAAAGGAAATGAAGTACTGACACATGCTCCATGGATGAACATTGTACACATTATGTGAGGTGAAAGAAGCCAGACACAAAAGTTCATGTCATACGATTCCATTTATATAAAATGTTCAAAATAGGCAAATCCACAGAGAAGGAAAAGGCTAGTGATTGCCAGTGGCTTGGGGAAGGGAAAAATGAGAAGTCATTGATTAATGGGTATGGAGTTTCCATTTGTGGTGAAGAAAATGCTTTAAAACTAGATAGTGGTAATGGTTGTATAACAATTGTGAATGCGTTAAATGTCAATGAATTACACACTTTAAAAAGGCTACAAAGGTGAGTTTTACTTTATATAAATGTTACCACAATTTTTAAAAAAGCATTTGTAGTCAAAACAAAACAAACCAAAAGAAACATTCTGCTCAACAGGAATCATGGTAATTGTCTTGCCCAAAGTATCTTCCTTTAATATGGCAGAAATATTGGTATGAAAGACAGAGGAGTTGTAATCAGCAGGCGCAGGAGATTTAAAAAACAGCAAAAGCAGATGTGAAGCGGAGGAACCATAGAGGAGCCAAATTACAAGTAAGCAGAAACTTTGAGTCAACAAAAAGTACACCATAGAATAAAGCTGTGAGTAGAGGATGATAGTTAAGCAGAAGTCACAAAATCAGAGGGAACCCAGCAGAGAATTGAAGACCCAAGCAGGCACCATAAAGCCTGGTTCCACAGAGAAGCCTTGACTCTTGAATGACTCTTCCTTCTGTTGTAGTCTCTAAATTGTGTCTGTAAGCATGGCCCCTGTACCTTTGGAATGACCTAGCTCTTTCATAGACTTTGTGAAACCCCATCTCCATTACTGCCACATCAGTAACTTCATAATAAATCCCCATTATCTGAGATACCATCAGGGTCTTATAACCAAATATCCTGAGTATGCACTACCTCTGTTTTTCAATGACTTTCACTTTGCCATCAACAATTAATTAGCAACTGCAATTGTAGGACAATTTTCCATTTTGTGGCATTTGGAAGCACAAAAATGAAGGGAAAGGTTTATAAGAGAAGGGAAATAATGGTAAGGAGCATGACTGATGAGGCTTCAGGGTTTGTGGTTGCAGGGGTCTCGTGGGTTTTGCAGTATATTTATGTGATTATGTTGTATCGAAATCCCATTAGGTGACTTTCTTTTCACAGTCAATTAATCCCTAGAAGTTGGTGCAAGTTGCCCCAAACAGTGAGAGAGCGGTCCAGGTTTTAAGTGGGTCCCGTGTTCCCAAATTAGAGTTCTGACAATCAATGAGGCCGCAAGAATCATCCTGATTTCTTTCAGACCAGCAGATTTGCTTGGAATCCCAGCTTACATAAATCAGTGATTGTTTTCTCAATCTATTTCCATTGGCCTTATGAGTAAAAGTCTTCACAGATTTACTCTTCACAGAATCTAGCAGTAAATTGCTTGACAGTTCTAGTTTTCTGTGTGGTGAAATTAAATATTTTATTAAAATGTTTTTGCATAGATTCATATGTAAACTATGCAAGTCTCTTTCTCTGCTTCTTTGTTCTTTGTTTTTTTCTTCCCTCTTCTCTTTCTTTCTTTCCTTGGATTGGGGAGAGTAGGGTGGGTTGCAGGTGGTGAAAGGAGCAGACAGTCAAACGAGTCTTATTAATTAGTGTTTGTAAAAATCCCCTGTTCACTTGGCAGAGGGTGAGCTGTAGATCTCTTCATTCTCATTACAGACAGTACTCGAAACACATTCATCACAGTCGAAAGGAAGTGAAGAGACCCAGAAGGGAAGCAAGATACCGAGATGCTGCCAAGTATCCCAGAGTCCATGATGGAGTGGAGATGAAACAATAGACCCAGGTCATTCCTCCGCTGGAGGTTCTGAGGCAACCAGTAGTGCTCTGTAGATGAACATTCATGACAACTTGCCTTTCAACTGGAGGTGTGTGACAACCAGAAAAATACCATCGAGCTAAAGCTTTTTTCTCCTAGAAGAGCAACTGACTCACAGCAGCATGTTGTTATGTGGACTTCGAGTCTGTGGACTAGTGGACCTTCACCTCCTTCAGGGTGTGGGGCTTTCCAGAGCTTCCAGTCCTCCAGTGAGAACCCTAACCCACATTCCTGCATTTGATGACTTTGAGTTAAATCAAGAAAAGCTTGGAAATTTGGACATAGTTGTTTACAAGTCACTCATATTATCTATGAAAGTCTAAAAATGTTGTAGTCCCTGAATTTAGTAGAACAATGTCTGTAGCGAGAGCAGAATCTTTCAGGGAAAGCTTACTCCTCATAATCTTCACTCCACATATTTCCCTGATATTGGACAACTAACTTTTTAAAAAGGTTTTTCTTGGGCTCCTTCAAAGCCATGACAAGTACCAAGGTATATCAAAGTTCACCATCTTTTCCATATCTTCCATAATCCCAGTCACCCTTTCTATCAGACACAAAGTGGGGACCTAGGAAATGCCTTAAAACATCCTATCATCTACACCTATTTGGGGCACATGTCTGATAATACTTACTCCTAAAGCTTAATTCTGAAAACCACCATCTCTCTACTAAACCATCAAGAACATCCCACACACAACACAGGGCAATGATATATCTTCATGTATTTCCTGAATCTAGGTTAATTAATCTACACTCAGCTTCATTTGGCCTAGTTTCTTCCACACCTTTACAACCCTGGTATTCACAGGGACTCTGAGAAACAGTTATAAATAATTCTTAGACTGTCAAATGATTTATCTCTTTACCAGCTCTGGAATGCTCCCTCTACAGTCTGGTGTACTGTAACTTTATTTGAAGTCTACCAGCTTTAACAGAGCTCGTATCCCACTCATGAAGGCAAAATATATGACTCCTAGCTCATAGCAACCCTTTTAATCTTTCTTTCTGTTCCCTGGGCACTGTGACGCTGCTAAAGTTAAAACTGCAATGGAAACAGAAAATACATCCTCATACATTTTTGTCCTCACACTCACCTTCTGTCTCATCCCTGAATGTTTCAAATTTCAATGATTTTAATGTAAGTTGAAATGAATAAGGCTCTAATGACTCTATCATCTACATTTATGTTAGACAAATATGCAATCGAATCTACATAAATATGCATGCATTTTTAATGCATTACCCTAAAGAGAATATCACAAAAGAGGAATTTTAAAATAATGTACCTAAATTCACAGCTATCTATCACACTTTACACATAGGTGAAATTACCTGAAATCACCATGCACGTATATTTGGAGTCAGAGAGTTTCTGAAATTTTGAAGCAGAGAAAATTATAACAGTAGGGAATACTTCTGACTAGTCTCTATTAATGTTTTTGAAAACTTGCACTTACCAAAATGTTTTCTTGCTTTTCAAAATCAAGCATTAATTCTTAGGAGACTTTTAACTATTAATAAGATGTGTTTTAAACTTTGAATACTCAGAGTGCTAATCTACTTACTGACTATCATTACCAGCAATAAATCAGGTCTATGGTATCTGCACTGATACCCAAAGTAAATAATTCAATTTCCTCATCTTCAAATTGCAGAGAAGGATAACTCAGTATTAAATTATAAGTCTTGAATTGTTTGCACTGGCTTGAACAAGCTCAAATGCAAATTGTAATTCTTACATGTATTTTTAAACAAACAGAACATAAAAATCACTGTATGACAGCAAACCAACTGAAGAAATTCAAATTCAACTTGTGTCAATTCTTTTGCAAGGTATCAATAACTAGCTCTGACAAACTGTATGTGCTGAGGCAAGATGCAAACCTTCCCTTCCAATTTATGTAATTTTATTAAGTCATTCATGTGCATACACCAATCATATTGTCAGAAATCACTTTAGTGACTGACTTAATGGCTATGCATCATGTTTCAAGGTGATTCTAATTCCAGGTTGGACATTTCACTACCATCAATATCCAAAATATTTACTACTGTCAATTATGTTAAAAGTATTTTTCATTCTAGCATCCTTAACTCTGTTGCTTATAGTTCTGGTTGTCAATACCGCAAGAAAGTTTTCCTGTCGAATGAATTGAAGTCAGCAAGTGCTCTCAAATTTCCTCTTTTATTTTTTTTTATTTTATTTATTTATTTATTTATTTATTTATTTATTTATTTTTATTATACTTTAAGTTCTAGGGTACATGTGCATAACGTGCAGGTTTGTTACATATGTATACTTGTGCCATGTTGGTGTGCTGCACCCATCAACTCGTCAGCACCCATCAACTCGTCATTTACATCAGGTATAACTCCCAATGCAATCCCTCCCCCCTCCCCCCTCCCCCCCCCTTGATAGGCCCCGGTGTGTGATGTTCCCCTTCCCAAGTCCAAGTGATCTCATTGTTCAGTTCCCACCTATGAGTGAGAACATGCGGTGTTTGGTTTTCTGTTCTTGCGATAGTTTGCTGAGAATGATGGTTTCCAGCTGCATCCATGTCCCTATAAAGGACACAAACTCATCCTTTTTTATGGCTGCATAGTATTCCATGGTGTGTATGTGCCACATTTTCTTAATCCAGTCTGTCACTGATGGACATTTGGGTTGATTCCAAGTCTTTGCTATTGTGAATATCATTAAAAAGTCAGGAAACAACAGGTGCTGGAGAGGATGTGGAGAAATAGGAACACTTTTACACTGCTGGTGGGACTGTAAACTAGTTCAACCATTATGGAAAACAGTATGGCGATTCCTCAAGGATCTAGAACTAGAAGTACCATATGACCCAGCCATCCCATTACTGGGTATATACCCAAAGGATTACGAATCATGCTGCTATAAAGACACATGCACACGTATGTTTACTGCGGCACTATTCAAAATTTCCTTTTTTAAAGTGAACTATCAGTTTTGTTGCTATAAGCTGGCGTTTTCAGAGTGAAAAAGAGTGAAGGGTTTGAAATGACAAAATGTTTCCCTTTGCCTCTCATAGCTACACTTTAAGTTGATGTGTATAAGGAGCATAGCATTACCTGTATTTTGAACTTAGAGGAAAAAAATGCTCTAAAACTTTTTTGAGGACATGCCACTGTCACCACAACTTCCCTCTCTAAGTGGTTCCCTTGGGAGATAACACAGTCTTACCTGACCCCACTGCATGGCCTCGGTTGATTGGCTCAGGAATAAACACCTCATTCAAGCTGTGCCAAGTGAAGCTCTTCCCAGGGATATATTTGGACTGAAACTGGAAAAGTAAAACTGTCTTTTGTTTTGGTGGAAGATATAATATTGAAAACTCATGAACTCTTGGTGGCTCATATCCAGCCCTCTGTCGTGCAAACTAGAAATGATGACGGTGATATACAGAATAGCAGAGATGACACAGGTTATGTCCTGCTGTCATTGAAGTTCCTGGTCATGACTGCTTATGAGAACCAGATGCTTCTCAGCTTTACTGTTGAATTGTTCTATGGATTCTGACAGATAATTTTTAGTTTGATTATGGTTAGTTAGAACCAAAGAATCCAGACCGATATTTAAAATTATTATCTAGAAATTATTATCTAGGTTTCTACAAGGATAGAACCTACAAATTTTGATGTGGCTGAATCCAAGTAAAATGTAAATGAGTAAATTTTTGAAGGCTGAGGTTTGGAATTCAAGAATTCCATATGAACATTTTTAGTACTATGTACACTTTTTGAAGGTGGTAAAGTGGTTGGTTAAACTACTGCCTGTCAGCTCTTGGGTTCAGATCAAGTAATCATGGAGACTTGAGTCTTAGGGAGCTTGATAGTAAAATGCTACCATGACTATCACAGGATGTTGGCCACTTCCTTCAGCATTCACAAAAATAAAGTATGGGAGAGACAAGTTGATTCATTGAAAACTGATGGAGAACAAAAAGACAGGTGGGATAGCTTTGTTATAAGACAATATTGACTCCATAACATGAAATTTCTGGAGATCAGATAATAATACAATTTGATGAATTGCAGCAAACTCTGTCTCACCCTGAAGTGTTTAGCTGACAGGCAGAATATTGGCTCCTAGAAATTGGAATAGGTGTATTCCAGAGGATCTAGAGTTATCAGTAATCACTGATTCCTTGCCTTTCCCAGAAAAAGGTGATAAAGCTTCCCATTAAAAAAATGTACTTGAGTTCTAGTTAAACATGACAAATTAAACCTAGGTACCTACTTCTTTGAGCCCCACTTAAGTGATTACTAAGAGAAATAAAAATATATAAACCCAAAGGCAAAAAGAATGAGATAGAAGACAACTGAAAGGAAATATATTAATAAAATTTTCAAAGGTAGAAAGTGAAAAAAGCAGTAGTAACTAACTTTCTAAACAGAGTTGAGAAATGTTTAACTTAAGTGCTTGTAGATGTAAGATACTAACAGGAAATAAGCTAACATATCCCACTCACAAAAGGCTCAGGGTTGAAGATACCAGATAAATGTTAATGTAAAGTTAAACACATTTCAATTGATGGATTTATTGACAATATTTAAATAGAGTAGCTGGAAGTCCTGTGTCCCCTTCGTCCCCTTCTCAAAGAGAATAAGTAAACACCCCTTCAACAATTTCCCAAAAGAAAATAAAATATTTTTTTCTTTGAGGAAACCTAACCAGAGAGGGTCCAGACTAAAGGATGCACAACTATGGCAAAGTATAAGACCAAACTGGGGATTAATGAAAATGTACATACTGAACTATTGGATGCCAAGGCCTTTCATTGTTCCCAGAATTCTTCTCTGGAGAAACTGAACAGTTCTGGATGGAAGATATCTATGTACTGGTTTTCAGCATCCTGCCAAAAAAAAAGGGGAAGGTTTATCATGTTCACATCCTACAGTGAACTCCATCAGAAAAACATTCTGGTGCTTGATGCACACATTTATAATTTACAATCAACTTTTTAGTGACTCTTAATTATGAACAACCAGGGATCACCAGACATTTGAGAAAATCTTCTAGTGTCAAGATGCGCACCATATTAAACATAAGGGATGCAAAGGAAGGAGACAAACCAGAATCTTTTTTTATCCTGTAACTAATAACCTCAGAGAGATAAAGAAAGCAACAAATGCTTATGGAGCTCTTGCTACAGGTCAAGCAGTGTTCTAAGTGCTTTAAGTGTATTCACTCATTGAATAATCACAACAATCTATGATGAAAGCCTTATCCTATTTTACAGATGAGAAAATTTAGT